TTGTTGGAATACTTTCACTATTATTATTTTGAGAATTTTAAATGTTTTTGACAACAATTAGTTCTATTTATTATTGTAGATTCATTTATAATCTCATTGTCCCATTAATATACCATTACACAGGTTATCCCTATGCCATAGACTTAGCATTAGTCTCGTAGACTTAGCATTGCCCATGTTAAACCTATGTCATAGACTTAAGCTGTAATTCCATAGAAACCCATGTTAAATCATTCAAACATAGGATTAATATAGAGAAAAACTAACTTTTCCCTTCATATTTTGCATTCCCATAGGAAAAGCATTCCCCGTGTTAAAGTATAGCAATAGGATTAACATGCAATCCCATGTTAAATCCCATAGGGTGGGGGAGGGGAAGGGAAGAGGGAGAGCCGAACGATCCTATAAACCACATTATTCATATCTGAATTGTGGTTAAAAATACGGCAAATGGTCAGCAATAACAGCAATATCCGGGCGGCTATTAAAAGCTTGGAAAGGCTCGGTACTTACATAACAATCATGCAATCGTCCGACAAGTATATCACAAGCCAGCAGAGCTCCGGTAGGCTTAAGAATGCAATCGCTATACGACTGGCCGTACTAATTGTCACAATACGTGTCGGTTGTTTTTTATACGTAAGTAACCCGGCTATATTGGACGCATTATTTGACATTGATCAATTTGTGGGCAATCGTTATTTGTACTACATGCTTTTATTGACCGGTTTGATCTTGGTGATCACAATTGGAACTGTTCTAATTTATCATGAACTAACCGGCAAATTATACCTCGCTAAACAATATTATATGTTAAAATATGGCCAGTTTGAGCATGTTTTAATTGACGCGACCAAGCGTAAATCAATAATAGCTAGCTGTTTATTTATACGTAAATTTATAATGAAAATTGTTTATGCAGAATTTACCATCATAGCCGTAGTATACGGGACTGTAAATACCATGTTGCTACTACAAAATCCAACAATCATCAAGTTTATTAGCGTTTTAATATTTTATTCAATCGAGCTAATCACAACGTGGCATCTGGTGGGCATAACCTGGTGCGGATTTATGCAATTTCTACTATGTACAATTTATTTTAGCTTCACATATCGGGTCGTTGACCAGCGAATAGCGTATGGGTTAGAGACTAGTGACACACGGCAACTAATGAGCACAATTAAAATGCATCATTATTGGGAGCAGCAAGTGCAGCAAGCTAATTACCTGATTAAATATATCATGTTTATTGTTTATTACGTGGTAACGGCGGCCATTTTGCTAAGCGTATACGGACTACACAATAGCCGGGTTAAAGTATTAGGCAGAATAATAATTATTGTATGCAATATATGCTTGGTAAGTTTGGCGTTAGCTGTTATAGCGATGAGCACCTGGATAGCCAAACCGGCGCACAGACCCTATCGCTGGTTATTCGGGTATTTGGCCAAAAACCCGGTTATTTCCGTTATTGAAAGGCTGCGAGTAGAGGCGTTTGCCGCCCGACTATCTGGCCCTACAATCGGTTATTATTGTTTGGATTTGTTTCCAATGAATAGCAACGAGTTGTGTCACTACGTGTACATTTGCTGCGCTTGTTATTTGCTAATTATAAAATTGGTTTAATTCATTAAAAATCTATTTTTCTAAAATATTATATAATTTTAAATGTTTATAACTTATAAAAACTAATTAAAAAATAATTTATGCTAAAATAATTTTTTATTAAATATGCAAATTATTAAAGTACAAATAATTTTACATTATTTATCGTAAATATATACACATGTTGTAAAATTACTTAAGAAATAGATTTTTCTCGTTTTGTCGCCGAACAGTAAGTCCTTCGATCACTTGACCGCCGGCCACATTGTATTGGGCGAAGGCATTAGCGGCACCTTGCCAGTTTTTGGCCTTGATGTTGCTCAATATTTGCGATTGCTGGAAAGCCTGGCAGCCCATGTTGAACGTAAAGTCCACGCACTGTACAATATAGAAAATATTAGTAAAAATTTAATTATAATTTAAAAAATAAATAAATAATGTAGATGTTATGTAGGTAACAAAACTTACGGCATCGAATTGGTTTTGGTTAAGTCCCTGAACGGCGTTGTTGACGCAATTTTCATATTCAACCAGATCCTTTTTTAATAGATCCACACCTTGTTGTTCGGTGAGTGGTGTGTGACCTATATCGTTGCAGTTGTTATGCCACACACATGCGTGTCCGTAGCCGATTGTTTTCAAGCCCTGTCCAAAAAACCAAATAAATAGCAAACTAATAATTATCATAATTAAACATATTGCTGGTTTTACAAAAAGCAAACATTACTTACAATTTGGTCGTAGTAATAGTCAGCCCGCCAGCCCTCAGAGAATTTGAGCAAGTCCAATCCACCATTGCCTATTGTCATGCCATAGGCGTAGGTTACCAATGCGAACAACACGATCAATTGTTTGGCCATTGTATTGTAGTATTGTATCTTGATTACTATCGCGAGGTAGGAAACTTGATGTGATTTTGATTTTATTTACCAGCTAGCTTTTATACTGATTTTATTGTAATAAAACACTTGCCATGATCATTTATTAATCTGACGCAAGTAATTAATTAAGTAATGGAAATTTTAAATTTTTTTTATTTTGTTTGTCAAATAAAATAATGTAAATGTCAATTTGTACTAGGCAAATTAATAATGTGTTTAATGTATTTAAAAATATTGAATAGTTTTTAAGTACAAATAATAATAACTCAATTAATTATATAAAACTATAAGTTAACCATTTGTATTATTAATAACTTCAGTGTACATAAACTCAGCATAACCATATTTTATAAGCAATTTTACATTGCTCATTTCATTATGTTATATGGTAAAATTTGAGTCTACACTAGTCATGTAATAATAATTGAAAGAGAGAGAGAGAGAGAGAGAGA